TATGGGATCACGGTGGCAAGGTTGAATTATATATGAAATCTGTCCTATATTCAAATTTCAATAGACGATTGCTATATAAATAACTTGCTGGTTTAGGACTATAGGGGAGAAGGGAAAGAAGTGACAGTTGATTTATGCAAAAAGAATTCGGGGGGGGGGGTTAGCTTTGAGACTTACAGGATGTTATTTCTGTAAAGACAGCTGACATCCGCAGTTGCTCAGTTCCCTAAAATGACAGGTATTTTCAATCTACAAAATTGATTTTTCTGAAGTTTAGGGTTTTTATGTATCTACCATCCAAACTATATTGATACATGTAACTGAATTATGGGGTTAAATCTCGTATGTTTCATATGTGAAGTAACAGTGTCTCTTCTGTAGACTACAGTTAATCAACAGCTCCATGAGAAGATAATCTTCACACATACAAAGGCAAAGTCCCAAGAATTCAAATGGACATTAGTAGTACTGTACCTCCTTATAATACTCTTGCTCATTTATAACACTCTTTGTTAATAGAACTGCTTCCACCAAATCCAGTCGTTTTGAATGATAAAGATGAAGTGGTTCCAGAGGTGTCAGCAGAGAATACACAGAAATTGATAAATAGTAAAAAATTGTAAAAATAACATAAAAATATGTCCCAGGACTCAGTGATACTCGCTTAAATGAACAAAATGTGGACTTACAGGAGGATGGTTTCTACGGTATTCTTAAGAAGCAACTTACCACGTGAGCTGCGTGGCAGTCTTTGAAACCGTGGCGTACATGGTCTGGTCTTACTCATACAGGGCTGGACTGGGGTGATGGCTAAAGAAGCAAGCCGTAGAAAATTAACTGGCTATAAAGTATAACTTGATGAGACATCCAAGAATTATGCACTTGCAAAAGAAATTTTGTCTTCAAACCCATTATTTTACCTGGTTTGAGATTTCTGTAAATTAATGCACCAACTACTTGTGAGGAGAAGCAGAGGTTAATGGGAGACTCAGGAGGTATAAAATGAGAAAGTGCAAGGAGGAAAAAGAAGCTTTTTAAGCTTTTTAATGGTAACAATATTGCATTCAGCACTCAAAATAATGATTAAAGCTGCCCTAATGTATTTTTCTACTGTCATCTGATCAGTTTCGGTCCTTCCGGAAACAGAAGTCACTAACTGAAATTGCTTTAATAAAGCACAGAAATAATACTTATTGATAGAGATGTTGTTCTTATTTTCAACAAGTAATTTCATTTAATAGAGTGTATGATCTCATTTGAATTGGGATTGCTCCCAGTTGCTGTATCCCAGCATCAGTCACACAGAGAAGGGGTGTTAGAAGTCAGTTGGCATCTTCTTAAATATAAAACAAACTATCATGTGCCACTCAGCAGGAGCAGATACTAAATTTTTCTTTTGGGGGCGTTGGGGGGGGTGTAATTTCTTTTTTAAACAATACTGGAGCTCAGTCTGTTTTTGTTTTCCATTAAATTCTCTTAAAGCCATTCTGCTTAGGTTTAAATCATGAATAAAGGGAGTACTTTCCTGAATTCATATGGTGTTGCCTCTAGAGCAGTAGCAATTGAAAGGTGGCTGAATTTTAACTTGGGGATTTGTTATTATGGTGACATAAGTTCCTATTCACCTTCTCTAAAAGCTTAACTGTGTACCTGAGATTATTTTACTGATACTTAACGTTTCAGTAAAAGGTTTCTTTTTCAGATGGCGTTTAAATTACATATATTTAAGTACATTTACAGAAGGTTATTTTTATCACTAAAAGTGATAAAACTGAAGTTTTTATTTTGGAGGGAGTCAATGGAAAAATGTTCACTAAAACAGGTAATCTTTGTAAAGACATTTTGGAAGTTTTAAGGACTATTATTTTTCTGCCTTTCAAACCTTATTTGAATAATCTGGAATCAATCTGAATGTGTAGAATAAACACAGTCAATCAAATGTAAGTTTGTAAGACCAAATATACCTGGGTTCAAACTTTTCCTGATGATAAACTCATTACCAAGTCTTTATGTATCTAGTTTATACTGTCTGTGTTAAGCTTAAAACATGTCTGAAGTACTCATATTACAGTGATTTTTTTTTTTTTAAGATATTGGTATTTTCTCGATTGCTCTGAGAGAGCCTTCTCCTGCCTGAGGGTTGCGTTATAAACCTGTGCTACAGTCCAAGAAAGGACTGGTCTACAGCATGGTTTGGCAAGCCTTACTTCTCCCCAGAAAACGCTTGGCTGCAGTGCCTAACAAATTTGCTAGAACCCTCGTCATAATAATTGTTTAATGTAGCTGCACAGCTAGAGCTAGCATGGGCCTGATCGCAAGGAGGATAATGCACCGACTTCACTTGATGTAATGACTGAAAGTGGAGTAAGGGTATAAATGCTCAGCAACAAGAATAGCGTTCAGCTGAGCCAGTAAGGCTACAGTGAAACTGAAGGTACGGTAGCTTTAGTTACTGTAAGAAATTGAATCTGGGGCCAGGAACACTACAAGCCAAAAGATGAACTCATCCAGAGTATCAGGCTTCAGTATTATTTGAAAGCAATGAGTATCGAGCAGTGAGTAGTGAACGGCTTTGAAAGTGCTTTTAGCATGAGACTATGAAGGCTAGGCTTGGCATAAATACATTTCAGGACACAAACTTACAGTCAGCCTAGAGGTACAGTAAATAAAAACTTTCCAATTTAAGAAGTTAAAATAACTTTACACTTGTGTCACCTCCAGAAGCTAAACTTGCAAATTTTTCCTTGGTGAACTTTCAGAAACGAGGAGGATGTAATAGAAGAGGCAGTAGGGCTGGTAGTAAAAACAACCTGTTGGGATGTCAGAAATGTGTTGGCCACACAGCAAAAACCTAATGGATTTCAAAGAGAGAAAGCAAGCCATGAAGTGGTTTTGACTTGGGTGTTTATCTAAAGCAATTGCAAACAATAATTAGTGGAGAATGCAATCTTAGCAAGTACTATTCAGATTTTCTTCCTTCAAACCACGTTTTCCTAGTTAAGTCTTAAGAAATACATTGTGCTTTCACGTTAGGAATCAAAACACAGATAAAAGTAATGAAGTAATTCTAAACTTTGTAAAGCAGACCGCTAAGTTTCACATACTAAATTCAGGCAATCAGCAGAAAAATGTTTACAAGGTGTTTCTGTGGGTGAATAAGGGCAGGGTCTTAAGAATGTCTTGCAAAGAAAAGCATTTAATGACCTCCTTTGTCTTTAATAAAGCATAAAGAATATTAAGCTTTTCTATAGTAAGGGCTACATTTGAATAGAGATCTGTCTTAAAGATTTTTTTCAGATTATTCCAGGCAAGTTGCTTAGCTTACCTGTAGCAAGCCTAGTGAGTTTCAGGTATGTAAAAAGAAAAAGTAAGACAGGACTTGGTGACCAATTTGCTTCCCTGAGCTAGTGTCTTATCCTCTGCATTTCGGACCTATTGCCATTTGTGAAACTTGCTGAGAAAGTTCTACCTCCTGTTTATTCTCTTATAAAAACAACCCCACCCTATTTTTGCCTGTGAAGTAGCTATTTGAATTACCTGGTTTTACACAGCAGTTGGTTTCATTTTGAGTCAACTGATGATCAGCAGAAGGCTTCATTGCGGGTGTTGCAAGCAGGGAATGGTGTAGAGTGGATACCATTCAGATCCCATTCGAGGAGCCTTAAATATTCTAACCTAAATGAAGCAAGTACGTGAACATATAAAATATTTTAATTTGGGGCAGATTGATGCAGTACTTAAAGTGAAGCAATTATACTTACATGTGCTGTCTCTTCAGTCAGAATACTGTCCTGATGCCAAAAAAAGATTGAGTCTTTGCATAGTTTATGTCCCCAGATGCTGACCTCCTAGTAAACATCTCTATTACTATTTGAATTTATATGGTTCTATTCTCAAACTCATATTTCAGCGTCTGTGTTTAAGTTGACTCTTACATTGGTGAACCTGAAGTTCAGAAAACTCAAAGATTTCTTTTACTGGTGTTTTATAATAATTTTATTAATTTATCCTGCAATGGCCTTAGGCGTGTGGCATGTTCTCTCACTTTCTTTAAAGAGTTTTCTAGCACTGTAGGGCCAATTTTTCTGACACGCAGCAGCTATATAACATTATTCAGCAATAGTAGCATCAATTGGATTCATAAAAATAAGGAAGTTTTAACTTGTTCAACGATTCTCTTATGTGTATGATTCTGGTTAAATTAAGTCACAAGAGGTCTGTAGGTGAGGTTAATAAGATTTGACTATGGTGTGTGTATCTTTGAAAGCTTGAGGGATTGTGTTGTGCCCACCCAGCTAGTGCTTGCACTGCTGACTGTCGGTCTGCAGAGCTCGTGGATCAGACTTGAAGTAAGGGCATGTGTTTAACTTCATTCTACTAGAGAAACTCAGAAACCAGTATAAATGAGGAAAAAAAGATGAGGGCTGGAGGGCCAGGGAGTTTCACCTGGGAAGGTAGTTTATTGCCGGATGCTTACCTAAAGCAAACAGTGTGGAGGCTTCTTGCTGGTTTTAGTACACTTTTCACAGCCGGGGAAAGGGAGTGCTCTGTGCTGGTGGATTTTGCGAGTGGTGTAGTAATTCAGTGCAATATGGCGATAACAGCAAGTCTCTTCTGGTCGGTTGTGTTTGAAAGTATTTCCCAGATAGAGTTTCACTTCTGGCAGTGGGCTCCAGCGAGCATTAAACGAACGTGAATTTTAAAATACAGCAGTAGAGGTATTTTCAGAAATGCTATATATCACTGTTAGAAATGTGTGATGCGTGATTTATTTTTTCACACAGCACAAATACAGTTACTTTGCAAGCTAGGTTTTGTTTTCAGCCATGATTCAAGAAGACTGCTCCGTAGATCAGCTCTGCTTTCATCTGGTGTTCATTGCAGATTAGTTGTATTACTTCATACAGTTTTCATTATGCATATTGAAGTTAGTTGCATAAATTAAGATCATACGGACAATATACATAAGTAATTTTTGTGTTCTCTGATTCTCTTTGCAGTAGATGAAGGTCGTATTAAGGAACTGGGCAGAGTGAGAGTACTTCACAAGAGAACCGTGATGCCTTACAGTGTGTATAAGAAAAGAAGGAAGGGGCCAAGCGACGAAGCCAGTGTTCAGCAATATGCAAGTTTGGTTGGACAGACCTGTTCGGAAAGAATGTTGTTGTTTAGAAGTTGAAAAATCATTATATGGCATTTTGATGCCGCTACATTTTATTGCACTGCCACTGGATGATATGTACTATATTTGTGTGTCGGTATGCCTACTCAAATAGCAGTATGAAATACAGATATATATTTAGGCTTGTGTGCATACATGGTACTGCGTTTAAAGGCCAACTCAAATAAAACTTAGAATACAGCAAGGCTTTAACAATATAAGTTTAGAAAAACATGCTTGCAATATATTTTAGTTAAGTAGTTCTAGCATTTCTATGCATTTTGAATAATTCTAAGTATCTAAGCAAAATGAAAAACAGGTGTCTTTTTTGTAGAGAAAAAGGTTGACTAAATCTAGATTAACAATAATTAAATTACAAATGTTTTCAAATAGCACCTTGGATATCTGTTGTTAAAAATTGCCATGAAATTTCTGCTCGCATTTGTATGCTCCTAAACTCTTGCAAGAGAATTGAAACGTGCTGTTACTTTCTGATGTGAAATCTGGCATGGTTTAATTTTATTTCAAAAGTATATTTAAAAACAGGAAGAAATTATTTTCACTGCACATTCTTCATTTGTTTAAAGCAGTAGGTTAGCGTCTGAGGTCCAAGTGAGTGTAGGAGTTCATAGTAGATTCTCAGTGGCAAGGGATGCAGTGCTTTGGAAAACTTTCCCCTTTAGAGATGAAACAGAATAGTTGCACTATAAATGTACCAAAGATATGCAGCCAAGTGGCACAGTGGTTTTTTGGTATAAGCCTTATCCTTTGTCTAAAAAGAGTGGATATTTTAATGCACATCACTAATGTGAAATAGAGCTTGCAAGGTTTATCCTATAGCTCTTCAGTGCGCATTTCAGAACTATGCTAAAAAAAAGACTTGCGGTACCACTGCTGGGTTTTGTTGCAATTTTTTTCTGCAGAATTGTATGGGAAGACTTAAATATCATATTCCTGCGTTTTTACTCACTGTTTTGTTTATGGTGCAGCAGCTCACAGGTTAACATCTTTAATAACATTTTACTAAATACTTCTGTTGGAAACACAGGAAGTTGTGACGCTTTATGAGAGCACTTTATTATCTGATACATGAACGTTGTCATTAGTAGTCTGTGTCCCTATCAAGTCATACAAGGTATAGAAGTTTTGGGAAATAACACTGTGGTATTCAGTAATGTATTACAACATCGTAACAATACCAATGCATTTGTGTTTCTTATCTTCTTGGATAACAAGAGCTAGTATTTACCTTGAATTAACTTGAAGTTTCCTGTTAACCTTTGAAGAAAGATTCTTATTCAAGAATATATGTGTAGGTGTTTTTCCCCAGAAAGGAACCAAATTCAATTTTACCCTCTGAGGCTTACATCTCCTATCATTCATGGGTTTTATTTAATTTTAAATGCTTGGCCAGTATTATTAATCGTTGATTTTTATGTGGAACAGACGTAAGAATTTTGGGATTCAAATGCATTGCAGATTTAACTTTTTTCCCCCATATCTGTTTGATCATTGTAATATTATTGATATAAAGTACAGCTTCAACGGTAATTTTAAAAAGTAATTTTATGTTTTATTAATTGGGATGTATTGTATTGATCTACTCCCAATCTGCAACAAGATTGATTATTTCTGTCAGTGTTATATCTGGTATGTGTTTATCTGTTGCCTGGTACCGAGAAGTTTCTGTTTTCTGTACAATCTAGTTTGTCCATGTCTTATCTAAACCTATTGCCACAGGATAATCACTAAATATTACTTATGAACATTATTATAAAGAGTTCCTTTCTGTGGAGAAGATACTCTTGCCACTCAGTGAAATGTCAGATAGTATAACATTTTCTGCCTACACAATGTGTTGAAAAGCAGTGATGCCTGTATGGCTTAAAACCAAAATAAATAAGAAAACCTTTTTATATCATATAAAATCAGTTAATGGGCACAGAGGAATTCCAGTATGACTTGCAAAATCTTAAACATTATCAAAACCATTTAATGATGGCCTCGCTGTGCTCCTGGAGAAGTTAAAGTTTCTGTTAAATTGCAAGGGAGCAGACTTAACGTCACCACTGAGAGTTCTTGAAGGGCTCCATCTTTTTGTGCCCACTATTTGTTACTGATATGCCTTCTAGATATGTATTAGACTTTTATCTGATGCTCCGTTTCTCTTGGGGAGCTTTTAAGGAGTGCAGTTAAAGAAAAGTGAGATAAGTATAAAACTGAAAATTGAGCACAGCTTGAAGTTGTCATTAGTGTGACCACTAAAGGTAAATGACCATTTCCTGTGAATTCTGAAATGGTGCTTTCACTTTCTGACCTCCACTGGAACTGCAGCACCACGGCACGCTGCAGTGACTCTTACTGAACTCAAATATACATATATATATGTATGTATGTATACATAAAAAAGTCAACACTGAGATTAAGTCAAAAATTGAGTTCATCTGATGTAGTATGCTGAGATCTGATGCGCTTCATTAGTGTTATTTTAGAAAGAAATTGGTGCAGTATTTTTCAGGACTGATACCTCTATCCCTGTTTTAGAAGTGGAATACAGTCTGAGGATGAACTTCTGTAAATTTTGCCATTGACTTCAATGGAGCTGAAAATTCATCACTATTACAATTCTATTTAATAAGATGTTGTCATTGAGAATTATTGCATTTAGAGATATTTAATTTAGTACAAACTATTTTATAAGAATTTTTTTAGTGTAGTTAGTTTGTGAGCTTTAATCCCTAAAGTAAGGTTGCCTTGTTCTATCATCTGTTGATAAATGAGCATGAAATGGTGGTAAGAAAATGTGGAGCTGTGACCAGTGCTAAAAAATACTGTTCTTTGCTTTAATTGGAAATAAATGGGGAGCTTACTCATTTCCAGCATCAACACATTTCAGTAAATGCAAAAGAACCCGCATGTTAAGTTTGTAATTGCTTTTCAGCAGGCCTGTTTGACTTGTAAGTATAGAAAATAAAGTTATTTCTAGTCTCTGTGAATTATTATAAGTAAGTCATAGCTCCAAGTGTGACTTCTGTCTTACTTTGTAGGAATTCATTATCTTGGAGGTTGACTAAGTGTCCAGTGAGCAGCAAAATCAGGGAAGTCAAAGAGTAGCAGTGATTGGAAGGGATACCTATCAGTTCAAAACACATGACCTATTTTAGAACTAAATTTTAGTTCTAGCTAGACAGATTAATGACGAGTTTATACTTTGAAACAGAATTTATAATTCTTTTGTGAATTGAATAGAATAAATAAAATAAAGAGGCTTTTCACAAATGGAGACTAGATAGGACTAGCTATTTATTTTAGTTAAGCTATACCATTTCTAGTTGGTTGGGAGAAAAAAAAAAAAAAAAGCTTTCTCTGAAGTAAGCAGCCAAACAAGCAACACAGAAATCTGGATTATGTGCATAAAGATAACCAAACACTGATTTGTTTTCCTGCT